TTATTCTCACAAAGTTGGTGGACTTGGTGGAGGCTCTGGCTCATCAGAGTACAGGGTGTACCCGATGATGTCACTGCGATAAGCCCCCACAGTGCTGCTGAATACAAAACTGAGGGACGACCTCTGTAAGTTGCCATGACACCAGGCGCTACCCAGCTCTGTCTGCTTCCAACATCCAGCATGGAGCCACTGCAGCACACACAAACACACACACACACACACACACACACATACAAACACATACGACATGCACTTGCTTGCATGATCTGGTATCCTTGCTACACACACACACACACACACACACACATACAAACACATACGTCATGCACTTGCTTGCATGATCTGGTATCCTTGCTACACACACATACACACACACACACACACACTGGTAATGTGGTTGGAATGATATCTCAAGGACTCTCCTCTCCATGCCGTGCTGGTTCTAGGAAGCGGGCCAGGTTCTGGGGTGCAGCTGAACTGTTTCACTCTCTTCACCTGGAGGGAGAGAGTGTTCACTTCCGGGAGACCACAGCTTTGTTTCCTGCTCACCTGCAAACGGCACACCCACTGTGATCTGGCTGCGGAGAGCTGGGTAATACCTGGCACAGCATGAGGTCTAAACACAGGATTACCTTTTGCCCTCTGTTGTCATGGTTTAAAAGGTTTGAAATTAATACAAGAGATGCAGCAAAGTGACAGCAACCCTTTGTTGATGCCTCTTTACCTTGCAAAAAAGCAGTTGATGCAGTTTATCTTCTCGCCTGTCCTTATTAGAGTGTGAGGTACCATGCGGCGCAGGCAGTAGTTTGGGAGCAGCAGGTAGCTGTGAGGCATTGCACTGGGCCAAATGGTGTTTCTGTCCCAACCACAGCAGATCAATAAAAAAGCTCTGACCTCAACTGTCAGCCAACTAAACTCCGTTCGCCAGGGGACACTCATTTCCCTCTCGACGTGGAAACAGGAAGTATTGAATGTAATCTACAAAAGTGCCTAAGCCTGTCAGCTAACAGCGCAGTCATGTGGATTGTGTGTTTTGCATGAGCAGCTTAGGGTTAACGCGGACAGACAGACCCTTTTATTGATTTCTGTCTGAGAAATCATGTCACGTGAAGCTGTTACCCATATTTACCACAGTGATGGATCTGTAGGCTCACTGTATGTACAGGGAATATTTTAATCCTCCTATATGCTCCTATGACATGTATGAACCTTGAAATGTCTCCTATGCGTGCTCACTCCCTTTTTTTTCCTTAATAAAAGCGGACATCACCTTGTAAAACATACAAAAATACAGCATGTTGTTATTGAAGACAGAAACTGAAATATAGTTTACAAAATACTGTAAAATGTGAAAAAAAGCCTTCTCTGTCCTCCAACCAAGTAGGTCAAAGAATTTTATGTAATAATGCAACGACTATAAATACACAAGCAAACTGTCAGCAGCTAATCATGTCTGATTTATGCCAGGATGGTGCTGATGAGATTATTTTGCTCTCCTTCTATATCTGGCCCTCCAGCGCTCTCACCTCTTCTTTGATGCTAACAGGTCAACTTTGGGAAGGAGAGGGAAGTTTCAAAGCCTCAGGCTCGTTTTTGCATGAATGAATGTCTTTTATTTCCCCCTGTGATTCATGGATCATCATGGCCACCAGCTAGTAGGTATTTAAAGATGAAGATGACAAAAAGAGAAGCGCACACATCGTCACATGACCAACGTTTTTTCACAAATACAGAATAGAGATACAGCTGTAACCCGTGAAAAGCTGTGTGAAAAGCTTCAAATAAACCGGAGAAACACAGCATTTTAACTGCACATGTGCATGCATTCTATAAATAGGGCTATAAAATGTGGCATGAACGGTTTTTGTAGCCCTTTAAATAATGCAAAACACTGATCGTGTTAGAGTTACGGGTTTGCCCCTGTTTAGTGAACCATTCACAAGTTCTATTCATTCATAAAAAAAAAAACCGTAGCTGTGCAAAGGTGCTTAATCTTTTCATTATATCTCAGTTATTTTATTACGTGTCAGCCTTGCCCTCAAAATGAAGATACATTCACTTATGTGATATATTCTGCTTAAATAATCAAGTTCATGGTCGTGTATAGAGAAAGAAATGTTTAGGATTTTGTTCATGATCCCCCTTGTGTTCAATACTATCATACAAACAGTACATGCAAACGAAAAAAATGATTTAACCTTTATTTAACCAGAAAGTCTACCACAATACCATGACACCTTGAGAGGCATAAGAGAGCAAATGTGACTATTTAGAATAGTTACATTCCTCCTAAAAACCCCTTTTGGATGTGTGGGTTGAATGCCTGACATGAAGGTAGTGTTTCCAAATGCAGTCTTATGCACAGTTCAGACTCTGAGGCTCATCCATCTAGCTGTTTGAAATAGGACAAAAAGACATACGTGAACTTTGCTGATATACATGTATTTTCAGGGAGGTCCATTCAGTTGACCATATAAATTACAGTGATGAGTTTGTGAATAAACAGGGTCAAGCCTCCGCAGGCTGTTATGTAAGGGGAGACATTTCTTAAAACAAAAATAAAAAACCTAGTTTAGGTTTAATTTTCTTTACAAAATTTCAAGAGAAATTCCCCATTATTGAGATATTTTATGTTACTGCTTACCACGATACTCTGCATTAGGAACTCAGGTAGGACTAATGTCAGTTTAAAATCCTCCTGCAAGTCCAAAACATCAATTTTTCAGGGGCTTGCAGGGAAAAAAAAAGAGTCAAAGAATCTAGTTGATAAAGAGGACTGAGCTCCTTTGGCTGAAACTAACAAATGAAAAAAATCGAAACCTGCCAGGGTTTTCACATGAAAGCATTAATGTGTTATGAAGAGAACTCTTTCGAAATCTTATCCTCTTAAGCACATTTAAAAGCTGTGGAGACGCAGACACTGACAGTGAGAATGACTTTGCTCCATGGTCACAGCTCAAAGAGAGCTTTATCTGGCCTGTGCTGTGTATTCTTCCATAAGAGAAACACCATGGAAAAGTAATCCCGTTTGGATGAACTTACCCCGGATCAAAAGTCAGCAAAAAAATCCTCAACACTTGTGGAGACAGTGGATGACACATGCAGGCAGCTGAGGCCAGCGACTAACTAGTGGACTGTGTTTAAATTGGCTGATTTTTAGACAATATGCATCCACGTCACAGAGGACCTTATAGCCTTTTCTAAATCACAACAGGGACTTTGGGCCACTAATTACGCATTTCCTCCTCACATCTCCAAACACAGCATCACTTGTGACCTTATCTCTGTGCCTGTCAGAGTGTTAGCATTCACATGGCAAGTGTGGTGATGAATGTAATTACAGGAGCCCAAAATAATAACACCACTGTCGTAGAGAAACCGGCAGCCAGTCTGTCGTAATAGGACCCCCACGCGCCCCCCCCCCCTCCAAATTAGTGGAGACAAGGGCAAAAATAGAGTTATTATAGTCCTGGATCTATGGCAGAAACACATACAGAATACATTACAGAGAGGGGAGGATATTAATACTTTACTGAATTTAATCTCTCATGAAAACACTTACAGTAATCCTATTATAAAGTTTATCACACAGAACTTTAAAATGACATGCAGCCATTATAAAAGTCACGGCACAGAAACTCACAGAGAAGAAAACACCAAAGAAGACTTTAATATATTTCTTGACTCTATAAACAATATATACTCAAGTAAAAAAGCTTCCAAAGTATCCCTAACTTTAGCGGGGAAAAGATATGTGCTGCAAAGAAATATATATCACTTTTATTTAGGTTTTTTCCCACACTGTTGTATTTTGTCACTGATATAATTATTGTATTTTGATCAATCTTAATATTAAATACAAAATGAGTTTGTACACTCAAATAATTAGTAATGCAGTTTATTTATTATTAGAATTATTCTTTCTTTCATGTTTAGCACAGGTAAGTGAAATGCACTTGCATTTTGGCTGTTTTTGCTGTTTCAATAATAAAATGAAAGAAATAAAATCAGCATGAAAACCAACTAATGAGCACTAATAAGTATACATATGCTTATACTTATGGGGATTTTTAATTTCAAGTATGCCAATTAAAAAAGAATGTAACTCTATATAGAAATATTGAATTTGAGATTGTTGTACAACATGATCATTGGCATGTTTTGTCAGCCGCTGTTTCCAAGGTCAAGAATGAACGTTAACACTCAACTTTTAAATCAACATGGACAAGAAACCCTTGTGCTCAGAAAAATTTTGAAAAAAAAACACTAAAACAAATGTGTTTTGCTTAGTATTACTTTACCTGGATGTTTGAGCTTCTCTCTGCGGAATGATTTACGCATGCACACAGTTTGATACTAGTTGACTGTTTTCACATGAGGGAAAGTTTCTCTGAGCTCACCCTGCCTCTCAGTTCAGACTTATAGATATGAGATGATTTTGTGGGGTCATAAAGTTTGGAAGCCAGTCATTGGTCCAGTATGCAACTTACATAAGTTCAAAGTGGAGACTTGAAACTTCCAGTGCACATATACTGAGAGTGGACTGTTAAGTGAAGCGGTGATGGAAGTTAAATGTTTGTATTAAGAAATATTTGCATATTCATAGATTCTGGATTTTTCCAGAGGCAGTAGGCATAGTTTTAAGATCTTTAAGATCTTTTAAAATGAAGTAAACTTTTGTGTAAAAATTCAGAGTATTTTGATGTGTCTTGAAACATGTCTGAAAGGAATTTCTCATATTACTGCAAAAGATGAGTAGCTATACATATTTTTCTATGTATATTCGGTTTTTTTTTAGGCTTTTTTGTCATCTATTTATTCCTGTAGGCTCATTCATTTCACTCCTATTGTTTCCCCTATAACTATGACTGGTTCATTGTCTGTATGTTGTTGAATTAAAAAATAAAAAAAACTCACACGAGGAAATGTAACAATGTCACCCTCTTGTGGCCACAGGTGGAACTTCCCCACGCGAACTGTGACCCGGAAGAAGTTCCGTGTGTTTTTCTGGTTCGCACGTGGGGAGTGAAACATTTAACAGCACTGGGCAACATGGCTGCGTGCAGTGTGGAAGAGCTGTTAGCTAAAGCTGAGCAAGAAGAGGCAGAAAAACTGCGAAGTATCTCCGTCCACAAAGAGCTGGACCTGGAGTTTGACGTCGGTAACCTGCTGGCGTGTGACAAAAACCGCATCGAGTCCCGGGACTTCAAGGAGCAGAAGAAAGAGGACTTCCTGCGGTCTTTAGCTCGTGACAACACACAACTCCTCATCAACGAGATCTGGAAGCAGCCCACGGAGAGGGTCGAGGAGGCGATAGTGGCTAAACTACCGGAGCCGACGACCCCGCTGCCCAGAGAGAAGCCGCCTCCAAAGCCCAAACCTCCGACCAAATGGGAGCAGTTCGCCAAACTGAAGGGCATACAGAAGAAGAAGAAGACCAACTTGGTCTGGGATGAAACTGCGAAGGAGTGGAAGAGGCGCTGGGGCTACAAGAGGGCCAACGATGACACCAAGGACTGGCTGATTGAGGTGCCGGAGACCGCAGACCCGAATGAGGACCAGTTCGCCAAACGCGTCAAAGCCAAGAAGGAGAGGGTGGCCAAGAACGAGTTCAACAGGCTGAAGAACATCGCCAGGGCGCAGAAAGTCAAAATCCCAGGAGTGGGGCTGACCCCTACAGCCCAGCAGTCCAAAGACGAGCTGGCCAGAGCCGTCAGTGTGGCCAGATCCTCCACAGCATCCGCGGGGAGGTTCCAGGACCGGCTGCCTAAAGAGAAACCACCAAAGAACACAGGCAAGAAGAGGAAGTTTGAGCCCCTCATTGGTGACTTTTCTAATGAGAAGCAGAAGCAGCTGGAGCTTCTGAAAATCATGGACAGCAAGAAGCCCAAGTTGGACATCACCAAGGCTGTCAACAAACAGATGAGAGAGGAGGACAGGGAGGAGGCCGCAGCAAAATACAAGAAGGGAGCAGGGAAGAAGGGACGCAAAGGCAACATGGGAGGAAAAGGCAAAGGAAAGGGTGGGAAAGGCAAATTTGGGAAAGCAGGTGGAGGAGGAGGAGGTGGTGGAGGAAAGAAGAGATCTAAACCTGGGAAGCGCTGAGGACTCTCATCTCCTGCGTCCTGCTACATCTGTTGTGCCTTGGCATCAAAGCGTTGGACTGGACATTCATGATGCAATAAGTGACTGTTTGATTCATCTGTGAATGATGGGTGTGATGTTGTGACTGTCCAGGATTTTTGAGGCTCTTCCACTTTATGTAAATTAGTTTTACTGTAAATTGGTCCCAGTATGTGTAATATTAATGTAAAACACTGATAAATACACTTAAATCTTGCAGCCCAAATTAAAATCAGGTGATATTGTTTCCTCTCCTGTTTTTAATTGAATGCTGAATTTACAGTCGTCACAGCTATGAAAGATATTAAATATTCTGATTTACAAAATAGTAGCTTCAAAACTGCTTATTGTTCCCCAGTGTCATTCTACATACCATTAGTCAACTGACAGAAAAGGAATCAGCAACTATTTTTAAACATCACCTGACTCCAGCTGTTTCATAACTTTGAACATCTTTGAGTTTGGGGCTGTTAGTTGGACAAAACAAGACATTTTTAAACATCAATCTAAAATGGAAATAATAAAAAAATTTAAGTCTACACATCTAATTTTGGACTCTAAATCTAACATAGGAAGCAAAAATGAAAACCACATTATGATAAAAGGCAATGCATCACGTTTATCACAGCATTGTGAATTGTAACATTTCATACACAGGCAACTAGCAGCAGAGGTGAGGTCTTTAGCCTGTTTTGTAAAGTAGCCTTAGTTGGGACACATCTAACATCTCTCCTGGAAGGTTATTCCAGTTATGTGTAGCATGATAAGTGAATGCAGCTCCACCCTGTTTTGTTTTAACCCTAGGAACACTGAGTAGACTGGTCCCTGATGATCTAAGAGTTCTAGAGGGCTCATAAACACATTCAAAACACCAAACATTAGACGTTTCCTTCACTTGTTAATTGACTGTAATCGTCAAAGCTGTCATGTGTGGCACTGTAAAGCATAAAACAGTACACCATAATTTGCTGTAGTGTAACAGAACCGCAATAGAAAACAAGACAGTAGATGTACTGGAGTAATGGTGAAGTCATTACGCCGTGATGATGCCCGGAGAAATGTTCAAAAACTTGTTAAATTCTAAGATGACACTAAGAAAAGCACTGGTGTCAATATAATATTTAAGAAATACATAAGTCTGACAGTTGACAAATGTTATATATTTTCATATTGCCCCAACCTGCTATGAAAGATCTTGATATTATATTTATATTTCCATTTGTCAGGTTCCTTAAATTCAACTGCAGTAACAAACAGGCCGGTGATGGCATGTCAGCCTGAATAATTAATGGAGCAGAGATGGTTGATGTATAAAGCAATCTTATATTTCTATCATATCTCCTTCATCTCTGCTCATGTCCAGTGTAAAACATGTGGGTCACAATATATATTTGTTGCACGTCCCATATTTTCTTCGTACTTACCCTAAATTGTCTTAACAGATAAATGCTTGAACTTTGAGCTGCCCAGTGCTCATGTATTTTCTTCTTCCGAGAAGTGAACATCAGATCAGTTTTCTAAGAAGCTTAGCTGTGGTTATTGGTTATGTAAGGCTTTGCTTTGGCCCTGGTGTCTAGACTGAGGCATCACACTGAATTAGGAGCAGTGAGAAGTGCAGTGGAGGGCTCTCGATGCAAGAATTGGCATCTTTAGTACATTTGTACACATCCTAAAACCATTTAAAGCTGTTAATAACACTTTAGGTAGCATTTCTTTAGTCACCATATTACTTGAATGGTATTTTGGTCTGCACAGGTTTATAATTTCATGTTCTGTCTGTTTTGAGAGAGAGAGCTGTCTTAGACCCAGAGGGGCTGCAATCCAGCAGAGTATTCTGCAGGACTCTCGAGGCCATAGATAATGAGGTTAATTAGTTGTCTCATCCATTTACAGGTGTTTCCTCTTTCAGACATGTGTACAAACACACTTCTCCTCGCACAGTTCACCAAGCTAATCCGTGGTCTTCCTGACAGGGTTTCAACCTTATTTCCTGGTAACGGTTTGTAATTATTTGGGAAGATAAAATGCACATTTTTTCTATTGAGATTTGTTACAGAAAATAAAGTTAATGAAGTTCAATATACATTCATCACAACCTTTTATGGGTTATTAAATGCCATGTTTCATAATTGTTGCAGGCTTGCAAGAAACTTCCAGTGCTCAGATATGATCATCTGGCTGAGTGATCTCACGTGTTATTGATGGATGCTTTTTAATCGCCGACACAAGCTCACAGCCAAGCTCCGTCGCACCGGAGCGGGAGAGGGGAGGTGGTGGTGGTGGTGTCGGGGGGTGTTCAATCACCATCTGTTGAGCAATCCGCCACTCTGTCCCAAGCCCATTCATCTTTGTCCCTGCTCACCCAGGCCACTGGAAAATGGGACACAGTCAATAACCCTAAATCAATCAAGCCCTGTTGATGAGGTAAAATTATGAATTCTCATCCACGTCAGGCGGGCGGTGGCAGTGGCCTCTAAACTTATCTTGCATGTGACCAGATGGTCAAAGAACAATAGGCACTGGCATGATGATGAGGTGGTCAAGCATGATCTCTGGGATGAAGTCCGCCTTTTATTCCATTGCTCAACTCAAAATTGTTGAAAAAAGATCTGTGATATTTAACCTTGAAATCTAAGTAAAACTCAAACATTAATCTAATGATCATTCACTTTTCTACCATAAATTCAGATTTATTTATTTTTTTGTCCCTAGTCTTGTGCAGTACATGCTTGTGTGTGTTGCACCCTAGCAAGGATGTGTTGTTGCTTGTGTCCAGCTCCAGTCAGTGCTGCAGTGGATTAGTCAGCTGCATTTATTTAAAGGTAGTGGAGAGAGAGCGCAGCAGCCTCGGTCAGTGTGCAAGTTTCAGATCTTCAAGATGCAGCGCATCTACATGCACAGCAATGAACACTTTGAAGTCTTCACCACTGTCCTTGCTCCACAAGGTGAGTGGAATCATATCTGCAGTGAAGCGTGGCTTAGCATGACATTATTTGCACTGTTGGTGGGGGGAAAGATGGCAGATGATTAAGAAATAATGGGGTAAATCTTTTGTTTTCTCTCCTTAAAGAGAGCTCATTTACTGAAGGTCATGGTTGCATTGATACATTTGCACATGCATTTACGTGAAGATTCAAATGTACATGATGAAACTAACCTTTTTGCTGATTCATCTCCACTTTTGATGGTTAACAGGGAGGTATCGATACAGAGCAGAAGCTGAAAAGGCAAGTTGACCGTTCTTCTTAATAGAAAAATCCATCAAATATTCATTAATATAAAGCTGGATCTTTGGCTGCATGTTGTTAATTTACACTCTCATGTCAGACAGAAATAGAAAGCAAAATTCACAATTTCATAAGTGTCACATATACCCGGACTGATGGATATGAGTTTGACATTGATGTTATGTAAAGTCAACCAATTTCCTGTAACTCCATTATGTGTTTCATTTATCTAATTCTTCTGACGAACATGCACCATATTTAGATGGAACAGATAATGGAGAGTAGACCCAGATTTAGGGTTTCTATTTCACTGCACAGCAGTTAATCTCTGAGTCTTGACACATAATCCTCTCTCCTCACTGAGTCTGACCTGTAAACTGCAAAGACCACTCGGACACTGACAACAGCTTTTGACACTAGAACACAAAGCAATGCGACCAACCACACCTGATCTAAATTTAGTATAAAAATGTGAAAGAGCCTCTTGAAGTTTGAAATACACAATTCAGACTAAAACTGGCTGTTACTCTCCTTCTGTCCTTTAGATGGTGGTGGTGCATAGCTACAGGCCACACTGGCCAGATGATCTGGAGCTGTCTCTAGGTGACGTCATCCTGGTGCTGTCCAAACATGAGGAGGAGAGGTGGTTTGGGCGGCTGCAGGACGGCCAGCAGGGCTACTTCCCCGCCTCCTGTGTGATGGAGCTGAGCCAGGTTGGTTTGCCCCTGAATTTGCTCAGCAATGCAGCATGACTGGACTGTGCTGTTGCTGCTGCTGCTGCTGCTGCTGCTGCTTATATCTGAGGGCAGATTTGTCATTTGTATTCTATTCTGTTCTCCTCTTCCATAACAGTGTAGGCTTCAGTTTAATACTGTGAGCAATGGGACTGTACAGAAAAACATTATTTCTTCTCAGAATAATTTTGATTATTTCAATTTAGATATTTCTCTCTTTTTGTTTGGTTTTTGAGTGGTAAATTCTTAATAAATAATAATAATACCTAGTATTTTTCTCACAATTTAACCCTGATTGTTGCATATTCAATCATGAATATTTAATGTAACTAATATTACAACTTGAGTTTAGTTAACTCATTATGAGGAATACTACTTAGCCAGTGAAAACACTGTGTTATGTTTTAGTGAGAGTTTTCTGAGGTTTGAAAAAATAACCCGGATGATGTCATAGTGATTTTCTAACATTTTTCTAACAAAAAGTCTGCATTACAAACTAATGAGTTGCATTATGGGAAATGTAAGATCCAGTGTTTGTGGATCTTGGCACAGACTAGAGACTAAAAGTCAGGATATTTCAGACTCTAATCTAACGCTAACTTTTTTTTATTTGGCTCTTGTGAACCCCCCACTTTATTATAATATTATACTAAATCATTTCATCATTTAAAGTTACAGAGAAATATTTAGAATTTTGAGATCATCCCCTTTACAGGTGGGTTTAACAGGAGAGCTACAAAGCTGTTTGTATCATGTGATACATGATACAAATCACATGATTTTTTGAGACCTCTAAGCTGTTATTAATGGTTAATACATAAATCACCATTTGTGTACAGTCTGGCACATGTTAACTGCTCTTTAGTGAATAACAGTGCAATTGCTTACTTATCAAATTCAAGATGGCTCAGCGCTGCACTCAGATGACTTACCAAGCTACTCATTTAGCTCATTTTGAGAAAGTAATTGTAAGAGTAATTTTATTAATATTTTAACATTAGTGTTTCCTGGAATGAAGCAGTATATAATTATAAGTTCTGTATGCATTGTGTCATAATGCCATATTGAAAATGTATTTATCAAATATGATACAACAGGTACTTGATGTGTCTGTGAATCCCTGAGTGTCGTATTTACATATTATATACATAAATATGGTAATGTTTCCGTCATTAGTGTGTTTTGCTGTATGAATAGACTTGATATAATATTTTAAGTTAGTTTTGGACAATACTTTAATTTTTACTATAGCAAAACCACAGATCATATAATGGCAAAGACATG